AGTAGAGGGGCGGGGTATGTCTGTAATGTTTTCTTTCCCGTTGCTATGTGTCTGTAATGAGGTGGGGGGAGGGGGGAGGGGCGAGCCGCGAACCTCGAACTGAAAACTCACACTCACTATTTTCTTCAAAAACATACGTGAGTTCCACATAACATGAGCTTTTCAAAATTGTTGTTCCCTATTAACCTTGTATCACGAAATTGCAACATTAAGCTATTCGACATTCGAAAACTTTTATGTTCCAACGACCACCTTATTTGCATGTAGACAGCGCTACGAAGGTACAAGTAAAAAATCTTTGGTCTCTGTCTTCTGGTAGTCGATCAGAAAAGGTTAAAAAAACAATCCTGCGATTTACACGGGATCCAGCTACTATCAGTATGCATATTATCAGAAGTTTGAATTAAGCACAGATCTAAGTTCATAGTCAGTCTTCTACTAAATATAGTCTATCGAGTGCACGCGTCTTAGATGAGAAAGCAATCGCACACTTCGGAAAGTTCGTTCGTCAGATATTGACCAGAGCAAAATTAACCGATGACAGTTCTTATGAAATTCACCAATACCGTGAAGCAGATAAGAGAGGTTGTCTACAAATCATTCTTGTGCGCTATTCTTTGGAATCCGTGAAAAGATGTCTAATATTGTATTTGTAACGAACACAATAAAAGATATCTACTTCCTTCTTTCTCCCACTTGCATCTTAAATAACTTTCGATCTCATTAAAAATAAGTTATAACAATAAAAGGATTTACCTATCGTAAGAAATAAAACAGAAGAATTAAGAAGATAAGTAAAGCACTTTTTCTATCGCTTGCACTTGTGTTCAATGACGAGACGATAGGAATGAAGAAAGGAAAATGGTATAGAATGGAATGACAAAACGTTCAACTAAAAAGTAGATCATCGCTAGGAAATGTCAAACATGTTGTTCAACTCTCACGTCTATGTTCATAATCGCATGAATTTTAGTACTCGATGATTATATTGTTCGGTCACATACAAGTTTAGTTGGCTATCGAGTGCCACTCCACCTGGAAAATTAGCACTGGCGATTGTTATCCCGTTGCTTGAGCCAGCCAAGAATAATTGTATGCGATTATTGTTGGTGTCGGCCACGTATAAGTTGCCCATTGAGTCAAGTGTCATGGCAGTTGGATAGCAGAGCATCGTTGACGTGGATCCACACGTTCCGCTAGTGCTACCCGCAATCAATGTCCAATTTGTGGCACCTAATGGCCAACTGACAATATTATGTGCGCCATAGTTGCCTATGTATAGGCTGTTCGACAATGAATCAAAGTAAACTCCAAGAGGCTCGTACAGCTGTGATGTAGTTGTTCCGCGACCATTGCCACCGGCAACGACTGTGCCCGTCGTGGCGTTTGGTTGCCAACACATTATGCGATCAACTCCAGAAGACATATACAATGTTCCACTATTGGAGTCACGAGCGAGAAATCCAGGATTGGTAAGCTGATTGTTGGCTGAGCCCGCAGTACCTAAACACATATTTAAGTCTTCTCATACTTTACATAAGTTCTCTCACCAGTGCCGGCGATTGTATAGCCTGATGATGCGTTATTCGGCCAAATTTGAACACGATTATTCATAAAATCTGATACGTACACATTGCTACTCGAGTCGACAATTGCATGGATGGGATAAGATAACTGATTAGCATTGTTGCCACTTGTTCCGTTGCCGGCCACAGTTGTTCCATTGGTCGCACCCAGTACCCATTTTTGAATACGATGGTTGTTATTATCGGCAATGTACAGAGCATTCGAGGATGAATCAAAAGTCAAGCCATACGGATTACAGAAGAGATCAGCATTTAATCCACAGCTTCCTGTTACACCAGCTACGGTAGTACCAGTCGAGTTCCAGAGGAGACTAACATTAGCTAGCAGAAAAAAATAAGACAATTGGGTGAAAAAAGATTGAATTCAGATTCAGGTACAATTCGTCTTCTCGAAGCGATGGATTAGAAACTCTTATAACCACTCTTTAGTAGTATAAGGTAGTGTAAAAATATAAAAGTAGACAATGAATTCACACTCGCTTAAACCGCAGTTTCCATGGAGTTAGGTGGATCATTTGTAAAGGGTGTCCCATAATAACTAAGGATAATTTTTTATTCGTATTTTTCATAGTTTTACTCGGCGTAGAAGGCTGACATTTTTATCACATATACATCTGATCCAGATTTTTTATTGCTGAAAGTTTCAGCTCTCTAGCTATAACCAATGGTAAAATACATTGGCAAAACTGAAAACATAAATTTTCGCAATCAATTTCGCAGGGTAGTTCCATGCGTAGCCAACTAAAAAGTCATAAAGTATCTAAAAATTTTCTTCTGCATAAGACTTTGTAAGACTTTTTTCGCTGATCCTTTTGATAAAAAAATGTTTTGAATTTCGTTGAGAAAAGATGATGTTATGATCAAAATATATGTCATAAAAACGGAAGATGACAGATTTTTTTTTTGATAGAAATATCGTATACAATGTTCAATCATGATTTATTCATTCTACTCGTCCGTATCTGAGAAACCATCTCTAGGATTTTGTAGAGCAAACTTTGCTCTGCCAAAACTACTATGACACATTTCTTCAAAAAATAGCCATTCTGAGATATGTGAATCAATATTTCCTTACATGTTAAGCTATTTTACAGTGCTCAATTTTTTTACCATAACATTGCCATTTCTGAATGAAATTCGAAAAGCTTTTTACCAAAAAGACTAGCGAAAAAAGCTCTACAAAGTCTGATACGAAAGAAAATTTTGTTGATGCTTTATGATTTTTTGGTTGACTACCTTTAGAACTACCTCACAGTATTTTCCAAGTAAACATATATGCAGAAATCAATTACGAAAATTGATGCATTCAGTTTTGCCAATGTATTTTACCACTGGTTATAGCTAGAGAGCTGAAACTTTCAGCAATAAAAGATCTAGATCAGATGTGTATGTGATAAAAATGTCAGCCTTCTACGTCGAGTAAAACTATGAAAAATACGAATAAAAATTTATCCTAAGTTATTATGGGATACCTTTTATGCTATGTGATTAATTATTCACTTATTTTCGTGTCTTTCTTCCTCCATCGTAATTAGTTTACTTAGTTTATCAATGAACTGAAAAAACTAGCGTAACATTGGCTGAACTTCTTCTCCTTCAGTTTACTAAATAATACATGGATAGTTGCTGGCTATTCTTCAAAAAAGTTAAGAAGATGGCTTAAAAAATTGCATGAGACAGGCTTTCTGACAGTACATGTACCTAGAGGTAATTTTTGCATTCTACTATATAAGTGTGGACTTGTTGAGAGCATCAAAGCGAGCACAAATGAAACGAAATAAAACTATACCTGCTGTTCAATTTTTCTGGTCACTCAACTCTTCTTTACTTCTATCACTCTTCGTAACACTATCAAGATCTCATTTGGGAAAGTCAAAGAATAATGAGAACCTTGATATGTCGGTGTGGATGTGGGTGAGGTGAAGAATAAAATAAAGGGTGTCCAAAAAGTTCTGTAACGATTTGTATATTAGTTTTTTCTTTAGTAAACCGCACGGTTGAAAACTTGGGTCTAGGAAGAAAATATGCAGTAAAAGACGCTCTACAAAATGGCTTTCGATTGACCCCGCTAGTTCATCTAGTAACAAAGTTATAGGCTTAGAAAGGTGCTTCACAAAAAAGAAAAATTAACCGTGAACCCGGTCGACATTTTGATGATTTCAGTAAAAGTCCCATAACTTCATCAAAACAAAAGGTTTTCCTTGAGGGTTTGCTTTGTTTTGATTAGAAATGATTGCTCTTCTCTATCTAGCTGCAAGATTAAAATTTCGATTACATTTTCCGTTTTTTGCTGGGTACACTGTCGAAAACGGGATTGTCAGTGTTTGACGTAGTTTTGAAACTTGGTTCTCGAGTTATTCATTTGCCCTCATAAATTTTTCTACACACCCCGAGAAGAGCACATTTGAAAGTACCAAACACAAACTGAGTTCTCACTTTTACTACACTTATTTTACGAAAATAGTAGGAGAAGAAAAAGTTCGAATCGAAAAAAATACCAAATTTACAAAGTTTTCATTATTTTGCTTTGCGTATAATTTGCTTAGTTTCCTTGATTGAACTTCTGAAATTAAAGTTTAGGTAGAATTTTGTAGAGAATTTCACGGTGCTTCTATTTAAAAAAGAATTTGTTCTAGGGGGCCTAAGGAACAGGAGCTAAAGCACAAATACCGAGGCCGGGTTCACGGTTAATTTTTCTTTTTTGTGAAGCACCTTTCTAAGCCTATAACTTTCTTACTAGATGAGTTAGTGCGAGTCAACCAAAAGCCATTTTGTAGAGCGCCTTTTACTGCATCTTTTCTTTATAGAGGCAAAATTTTAACCGCGCGGTTTACCAAAGAAAAAGTTATTATACAAATTATTACAGAACTTCTGGGATACCCTTTATATCTAGTGACCGAATACTTCTGGTTCTAAAATAAACAATAAGTAAGCATTTTCTTCAAAGTAGTCACTCAATAATGCCGCTAAAAATTAGTTAAGTCATCTAATCCGTTAAGGATGATCTTATGCTTGTAGTACCAGAGACAATTTAGATTGATGTCTATTCATTATTCGACGTATTTGTTAGCATCCTAACATATCATAGCATTTTCTTTTGGAACCTTAATAACGCTACTTTGAAGAAAGTTCTCATTTTATCAAGTGTGTTGTCACCGGATACTTTATTTTATTGCTTCTCTAATAATGTAAAATCATTACAGTTGTTCAAAGTAGGAATCTTCGTAAAACAGTATGACAACAGCAGTTCGTTGCAATCCCGTAACAATTTATCAAACAAATTTTTACTTTTCAAATCATTGCAGATGACACCCGTTTTGTTGATGGTTATCTAAATCTTACCATCAAATATAAGGACACATATAAACGAGACTTAAAAGTCCTTTGTATTGGACAAATATTCGGAAAAAAAATGTTGCCCTAATTTTGCGCGATTTCAACCGGAACCAAACTTTGAAAGTTTTGAGGGGCCGGAACTAATCTAGAAGACTGGAATCGAAAATGCATGCATGTTAGACCCTAGTTACAGATAATAAATCATCGTGGTACTCATACTGACAAAGAAGTATGTCAACACAATATTGAAAATGTAGAAAAAGGTACCCTTCCAGTGAACAAAACTAGACGGCAGTAGTCCTAGCTGCGTTTAAAGGCTGTTTAATTAGTAGGGATAAACATGGTTCGGGATATCTTTTCGAAAACATTTTGACTTCACTTAGCAGATTGTATCATGCATATTTTTCAAAAGAATTATTCTAGTAAGATCATTTATATACATATATATCACTAATTTGGGCAAGCAGAAGAAAACAAGGAAACAAACTTGATCCATTCTTTTAACAGAAAGAAATAAAGCTGGATAGAGTTCGAATATGTCACCAGTACTCGTATGTAGAAACAGTATTTGGATTGGAATGAACACAGACAAGCTATAAGCATTTTTAGGAGAAATATGTTTCAAGCTTATCAACCTTGCTAGACCAATCACATAGTTGTGAATAGATTTCTCATAGCTGAACTGGATTTACACTAGAGATCTGCGGGACAGTACCAAATCCCGAAAAATCCCGAATGTCCCGTCCCGCGAGACATTCGGGATTGTCCCGAAAATTTTTCGAGACGGAACAAACGGGATCTGGACTATTCAAAAAATAATTGATGTGCCGAATCTCCTAAATTCACATATCAAAACGCATCATCAATTTGAGGCTTTTTGTTTCTAAGAAATATTTTAATATTTAAATAAATAACGAAATAGAAAAACGAAAGAAACAGTATTTTCAGGTTCTTTCAAAGTTGATTATTTTCATTTGTTTTGATCAGTTCTTGCACTGCAACTATAGGGTAAGCACATAGTCTCGCTTAATTAGCATATTCTGTGAATCAATTAATTTGTGAATGAGGATGAGACTGTGTTTAAACTACATTTATATCCCAAAATAACTTCTTTTTCTTACATTTCGGCTTCAAGCAACTAAATATTCATTAATGCTTCAATATTTCATTTGATAAGAAGTAAATTAATAATTTCATCTAGACTCACAGGTATCCTTGGTCGATATTGTATTGTCAATGGTATAAATAAAAAGATAGCTAAGGCTTGTCAAAAAAAGAATATCCGTGGGTATTTTTGAAATAACTCAAGACCGGCAAGAGCTAGAAAACTGCAATTCTCACCAGTCGAAAGAAGAGATGTCAATGCATCTTTTTCTCTGATATTGTGTTCGACGAAATCATTTTAAAATCTATCATTTCTGCAAAGCATTGTAAACAAAGTATAAAAAAGCCTTGATTTCGATGAAAACTTCGTTCTGATATGTAATTTAGATAGAGGGGCTTTAGATCTCAGTTCAACATATAATTGAAATGACTATCTTTCACATCCTACAAATGAATGAATATCATCGTCGATTTTGTCTCCCATAAA